AATGATAATGATAATGATAATGATAATGATAATAATAATGATAATAATGATAATAATGATAATAATAATGATAATAATAATGATGATAATAATAATTATTGATAAAAAAAAAAATGGACACCGACAACAAATAATAATAAATCTCTTCCGATTCAGATTCTCAATGAACAATAATCAAGACGACAACGATGTTTGTTGCTACTTAATCTAATCTTGTTTGCGTTGATGATTCCCTTGCAAATAAAAATCATGGCGGCAGTAGCGGCAGTGTTTTAGAAGTAGTAATTTGCTAATTAGTTTTCTTTTTTCGTGTTACTAATCAACCAAATTTCAAATTTTCAAATTGTTAGGTCTAAGCAACGCATTCATTAATGTGCCTACTGATCCACAACAGCAACAACAGCAACAACAGCAGCAACAACAACAGCAACAACAAATTCCACATTCACCGCATCATCAGCATCCAACAATGTCGCCACCTATTAATGGAATGCCTGAAAATTTTATTCAATCATTTCAATACGATGGACAATCTCCACAAAATCAAATGCATCCACAAATGTAAGTTGTTTTTTCCCTTTCAAATTTTTTTTTTATATATAGTAATATGTATATAAATAAATATAGAATTTAATTAGTTAATTTAATTAATTAATTAATTAATTAATTAATTTAATTAAAAAATCATAGTTGCTTTTTTTGCTTTTTTTTATTTTTTCTCTAACACACGCGATCCATTATTTTTGTTGTACATTATTATTATTTTTTTATTTATTTTATTATTTATGCAAGTAAACGTTACTTATTGCGGTGTGTAATGTAACACATAAAAACGAAGCACAGCATATAAAAAACACGCATATAAACATGCATATATATATATATTTAGTTAATGTAGTTTAAATTATTATTTACATTTTACATTTCACAAAAAAAAAAATAATGTGTATATTTATACACAAATAATTTGTAGAATCGAAAATTTTAATTTAATTTCATTTAAATAATTAATTTTAAAAAACAGTTTTATGCCAATTCCGGCACCACCAACTCCTTCGACACCTAGACAAAACGGTTCACCAAGCACTGTTACATCATCAAATAGCGGGGCAAATTCACCAACTGTTGATCGTAAAATGATGGATAGTCGCCAACAACAACAACAACAACAACCTCCATCACAACCGCCACCTTTCACAACCTCCTCTTTTCATGCTGCACCCTTTCAGTCTGGCGCACAAAGAAAACGTCGTACTGACACTTTAAATTTTCCTGTGGATGCCGGGCCATTTTTCTCTCCAACTACACAACACTACAACTTATATAGTGTCGATAGAACAAATAAGTAATTATATATAATTTTATACACACACACACATGAATTTAATATGTAATTAATAAATTAATAATTAATATTTTTATTTTTATTTTTTATTTTTTTTAAAAAAAAAAAAAAAACAGTTATAAACTTCGAATTAATTCAAAGGTTGACCGTGGTTTTTTTTTGGCCGATAATGACTGGACATGTTATCGTAGAAACTATTTTCAAATCAGTAGTGCGTTTTCTATCACAGGCACAAACCATGCAGTTAACGAAGCTGATATAGTCAGTTTAATTGAGGTTGAAGGGCAATTCCACACCATAACTCAATTCCTGTTAGGTATTAGTGCAAGAGTTTCCAACAGTGACAAAAAAATTGAATTGGTTCAACACACACCAAAACGTGATAAAGGTCCACAAATGGTCCCAGTACCAAAACCAATTCGTCCAGGTGGCAACTTAAACTTGAGTTCTGTCGGTTCAAATTCAAATATTGTCACATTTGAACGTATCCAATTCAAGACAGCCACCGCAAACAATGGCAAACGTCGTGCCGCACAACAATATTATGTTGTCATGGTAGATTTATATGCACAGGTAGAAAATGGTGAACAATTTCGTGTTGCTACATCGACTTCTGCCTCTTTGGTAGTGCGTGGTCGTAGCCCGGGTCATTATGCTGATAATCATGAACGTTATAGTCCAATGTCAATAAATCATGGATTCCCAGGTGATCGCCACTTAGCATTTCCTCATGGACCACCAACAAATGGTGCTCCAGTAATGTCATCAGATTTCAACGGGAATCCATTCCCTGGACCATATGGGCAATATCAACCATTCCCATTCCCACCAGTACCAGGCGGTCCAATTAGAAATGATTTAATAATGATTAATCCAAATGGACCTACACCTTTCCATTCACAACACCCACATCAACAATACATGGTACCAACAATCTCTGAATCAAACGACAATAATAGCAATAACAATAACAACAGCAACAGCAGCAACAATAACAATACTAATAATAATAATTAAGATTTTTTTTCATTTTTTTTTTTTTTAAAAAAAATAAAAAATATTATATATAATAATCATTATAATAATCATATATATTATATAATATACATATACATACATACATACATATAAACGACATTAGCGACACCTGTTTCCTCAGCAACAATAATAATTTATTAGGATCGGATGGTGGCTCGTCATTAATCAATATTAATAGTTGTGATACTTATACACTTCCTTATTATACCTCAGATATAACAGCACAATATCATCAACAGCCATTCCTAAATTATAATATGTCATACAATGATACTTCCACTTCTTCAATTACTTCAAGTCCTCAACTTTCATATGATAATATTTCATCTGGTGTTTCATGTGAAGGATCACCTCGAAGTGAGACTACATCTTATCTAGAATTGTGTCCCTCTGGACATGATGGATCTCAAATGCTTTTAATCGAATAGATATTCAACAACCAATAATAGATTATTTGTTATTATTATTATTATTACTATTATTATTATTACTATTCGCATTACTATATACATATTAAATATCAAATAGTAAAAAGAAAAAGGACTTTCAAATTTCAAAATTTATATTCTTTGAAAAATGAATATCGCAGAAGATAATAAGTGGTCATTACAACAACAACAACAGCAACAACAACAGCAGCAACAACAACAGCAACAACAAATTCCACATTCACCGCATCATCAGCATCCAACAATGTCGCCACCTATTAATGGAATGCCTGAAAATTTTATTCAATCATTTCAATACGATGGACAATCTCCACAAAATCAAATGCATCCACAAATGTAAGTTGTTTTTTCCCTTTCAAATTTTTTTTTTATATATAGTAATATGTATATAAATAAATATAGAATTTAATTAGTTAATTTAATTAATTAATTAATTAATTAATTAATTTAATTAAAAAATCATAGTTGCTTTTTTTGCTTTTTTTTATTTTTTCTCTAACACACGCGATCCATTATTTTTGTTGTACATTATTATTATTTTTTTATTTATTTTATTATTTATGCAAGTAAACGTTACTTATTGCGGTGTGTAATGTAACACATAAAAACGAAGCACAGCATATAAAAAACACGCATATAAACATGCATATATATATATATTTAGTTAATGTAGTTTAAATTATTATTTACATTTTACATTTCACAAAAAAAAAAATAATGTGTATATTTATACACAAATAATTTGTAGAATCGAAAATTTTAATTTAATTTCATTTAAATAATTAATTTTAAAAAACAGTTTTATGCCAATTCCGGCACCACCAACTCCTTCGACACCTAGACAAAACGGTTCACCAAGCACTGTTACATCATCAAATAGCGGGGCAAATTCACCAACTGTTGATCGTAAAATGATGGATAATCGCCAACAACATCAACAACATCAACTCCCATGTTAACGGTAACATCAACAACTGTCTTATCAACGACATTAG